CAAATAGGATCCTGATGAGGGTGGACGACGAGTAGAATCTAGGTGATATGAGTAGGATACATAATAAAAAACGGACTATTTGGTGGAGAGTTGGGGTAGGCAAAGGCCATTGTACTTCTTGGGGGTCATGCTGTCTAGACCGAAAGAAATGATCCTGTTTTATGATAAACGGTTGTTGTGACTATTGCATCGTGATACATGACGACGTCTCTATCGCCTATTGCTCCCTTAAGCTAAACTACGAAACGCGAACGTTCGTGGTGGTTCTACAAACGACTCACTAAATATTTGTGACGAACAATGATACTGTAGCGCGTGTGAGGCGTCAAGAAGTAGACTATAGTGACCTTCAACGTTATCTAACTGTTGGCTTCCATTCTCGATTGCCTCTCCATCGGTGTCACCAATGGGAATATGAAGCTGAACAACAGCACGGACGAATGCCCGTCATTGGGTGATTTTTTTTCATGTTTAACTATCGAGCTTCCAAAAAAGAAATACGGCCGGTTTCCATTTGGTTTTTCGGATTCATTTCATCATATCGTCATAGTCACTACGTGACTGCCTGCGCGAACTCTAATTGTGAGCTCATGGGCGGAGGGGAACTTAATTGTTCCTCTACCAGATCTGCGAAGTACATATATTCATCATATTTCCGATCTCAACCGACAAAGCAACGAATCTGTGGTGCCGTGGTAGAATGGTAAACTCAATGACCAAAGGCCCCGGGTCCGAATCCCTGGGGCTGCAACCCTTGAGATTGGGTATGACCGGCTGATAATGGCTAACAAGCCATTAATAGCCATTCTGGTCTCCCTTTGCTTTGTCGGATCCATGTAAATACTGCTGGGTTTGCCTCCGAACTGATGGCCACATGGTATTCTACCCGGACTCCCGCTTGTGCCATCCAGCATTCTAGACCAGATATATCGACGATAAATACACCGTAGGCAAAGAGCGCACCATACGGGCCTTCAAGACACCACTGAATTCAGTCTTACCGACATCTGATTTACAATGAGAGAATAAATTAACAGTAAGGTATCCTGCCTTGAAAAGTGACCTACCAAGGCAACAGATGGGAAGATTAAGATAACGGTATGTCGCGAGGCCACGCACGCTGGGAGCTTTTCCAGTAATAAGACAATAATAAGACGGGACGAGAACTACCGGAGGCCTAGTTATCTGACTCCAACTCCATCAACAGACATGTGGATGTACACCCTCCCTCCTGCTATCACGCCCTTCGTTTGCACGGCCCAATTTCCCGCCAAGCACGCACGCCGTGACGATGATGATGAACAAAGTTGGGTGAACAGAAACAGTTACCTAGTGGTTGCCAGAATCAGGGTGCATGTTGCAACGTTTAACCCCTCGCACTTGCGCACTACGACTGCCTGATTCTCGGCCAATACCGCCTTACAAACCAACCAATCACCTTCAAGGCTGACTCATACGACCTCGCTTAAGGCGCTGTGACGACTCACTACGGTCTAACACGAGGAATGCCGCTCACGCGGCTCTAGACGTATCCTTTGCGGCTACCAAATTCTTCAACATCTTCTCCAATAGTTTTGTACAGAATAAACTATCCTCCCAACTAGCGTCTCAATGTTTCCATTTTGCACACGGAACCGGGCCAGAAGGTTGCAGCGGCCACAGCCTATCTAATAACTTAGGCTGGTGCGATAAACTTATCAGTCGTATTAAGGAGACAATGAATATCCAAAAATGTCAGCAGGGACGTAGTTTCAGCCATGGGGTCATCTTATATTTCTTCGTTATCTTTGGAGGAAGATAAACGCGATGTATACATTCTTTAGTTTGTATTTGACTAAAAACGCTTAACCAAAAAACCACGTCACAGGATGTGTAAGGCCGTTGCTGCAGATCCAGATTGTGTCCAAACCAATGAGAGAACTATATCTGCCAGATCAAGCCATTTTTCGCTGAAAAAGTTGGATGTCACCTTTAAAATGAAGCGTATTTCTCTGTCTCTCTCACTCTCTCAACAGACAGTCCGTAACATTTAGTCACCGTATATCGGCAGTCTGTCAGACGAAAATTTTATAATAAACAACGAGAAATAAGAGTGATCCTGTCTGCCCGTGGCTCAATATTTAAACCGTTGGACTTATTAACGCTAAATAACCCGAAAAATCCGAATTTTAACCTCAGGTACTCCACACCGGAGGACGACAACTGAGAGGACAGAAAAGGTTATCCCAGTTTTCTTGGTTGACAGTCTTCTGCACACGTATGACTGTATATTGGATATCAGGGAAGATCACGTTGAACAATTTACGGAAGTTTTTCAGCATGTTTTCCTGACGATAACAAACGCATCGTTAACGTGACGGCGCCAAAAGATTGGCGCTTGCTGGACGAAGGAAGTATTATCCAGGCCTTATGGGACCAGTTCAACCACTAAACCGGAGATTGGGGAGCCTCCTTTATCTGCTCATAGGTTTCTCCAGCAAAAATGAAGTAAGCTTTTTGGCAAAATTCAAATAGCTTCACGAGATGCTCAATTTTGAGCGAACTTTGGGTTACGTCGTATGAATCCTCAAGTTGCTAAAGTGCAAGAATTCTTGCACTAAGCTCGGCGTGATGAATGCGAATAATGAAGTCGTATGCCTTTAATGCAAAAAAAATCGGTGGGATGAATGTGAATAACGAAGTCAAGTCGGAAAGAGACCCAGAATTTTGTCCGATTGAATCCTCCGAACTAGAAGGTCTACGGGGAAGTGGGAAGCTGAAAGGATCGGGGTAGTCGACTTGGCCTGGAAGAACTAGAGTTTTGAGTACATCCATTTTGCTAAATTATGGGAGAAGCTGCCTTTTAGGGCAACGATTGACAGCAGTGAAGCATTTGATTTATGAATCTTTGGGAAACCATAGAATAAAGCCAGAGCACCATGCATTGGTTTCCTTTGGCAACTTTCGTTCTCCGACGACTCGACTGCTTTTTTTGTCTCTGCTTAACATTTTTGCAGCTAGATATAGGGAAAGTAGGTCCGGTCTTTATACTGATGCTGTCGTTTAGTGGGACGGCCAGGGAACCCTTTTGGGGCTTAACAGGATTTTGTACCCACTCCTATCCCTTTTCCAACACGCGTCCGTGGCTAGGTTGATGGGACTCTACCATGAGAAGGGAGTGGAATTCAATAATGACTAACTAACTGAACTAACGGGCGACTACCCAAAACAGAAAACTACGATCGGTGTAGACAACATTTTATTCGCAGGCGGTAACCGCTATGCGGCGTGATATATGATAGACAGCACGAAAGGGTATTCGGACTTGAGTTAGCCCAGCAACGGGAAGAGATGACGGCTGTCCACGTGAAACCGATAGAGAAAATTCAGACACAGCAAATGATAAAGCGCTTGAAATATTGGTCAGATATACGAGAGGGAATGACCCAGGTTTTGGAGGTCAGCGAAATGGGACCATCTAGTATACGTTAATTACCAGGACCGTGCAGGTTGATCACACGATTCAGTTGTTTGAGTGTGCACGTGACACCACGCGCAAGCTAATAAACGCAGAGGTGGCACGGTTGCGCAAAGCACCTCCGGTGCGTCTGAGAGAAATGGCATTCTAAGGTTGACGACGGTATAGGCGTTTAATCTTGCAAAATATTTTTTTACTTAAGTGTTCAACGCTGTATGGTCTGGATGTAAGAAAAACGCTCGCCAGAGTTTTTTTCGAAATCAACAGTCCTACCAATTTCGCTACTACAAATGATCACTCTCGGGGAACTTCGTTAGATATCCATTACTCTCTAGGTTGTCTTTGGATAAAATCGGTTACGCGACTGAATTGGAAAAACTAAGTCTCCACTTAGAATTGGAGTAAAGCTCACGAAATGTAAGCAGTGTCCTTCCCAGTTAAGCTTCCAATAAATATAACTCCAGACGAGGTTATGTCGTCTGCGCCAACACATTTATTTCCCATTTCCCCACGTTTGACCGTGAATAAAATATCCCGGTGCAAAGTATGGAATTACTCAATAATTCTCAATGTAATCACCCATCTTATTTAAAATGTGACTTTCATTGATAGGTACAACATCTTTATAACTGGTCACTGATGCACGTTATTGTTGCGCAGCTGAAAGTAGCAGTGGAAACTGCCATACTTCCAAGTAAGGTTCAAATGCGTGCTACTACATACATTATACGTACGACTTCAGTGAAGGCCTTACTGATGAACAGCTTTCGCAAGTCTGGCGAAAACAAGTTTTTCTTGTATGCTAAGATCCCTCAGGCTATCAACAGAACTAAAAAAGCCTTCTTAGTTTACTGACTTATTAAGGCACAAATTTGTGACTGCTAAAGAGGTGGACAAGTAATACTAGCGCCTGAAACGGAAAATCGGTTATTCAGAAAATGAATCAAGCACACCGATCATCGCTAATAAAAACGTGTTATGGGCACACCACACAAAATGCACCCCCAGATAGAATTCCGATTATGCATAAATGTAGCCACCTTAGAGACCAGATAACTAGATGGTAAAACACGAACAGAGGTAAACTTAAGAGTCGTAGAGCTGGCTTGGAATAGACAAAATAACCCAATGGATTAGCCGTTTTGTAGTTTTTTTTTCGAACCCGGTTTTGTGAGGCAGGCATCCAAAAACGAAGAAGGTTGTACACAAACTCTGTTCATTTTACCGGTTACGATTATTCATGTTTGTTAAGGAAACCGATAAACTAGGCTTTTGTCGGCTCACAAAAATGTTAGACAGAAGCTTGCGGCCGTAGCAGCACAACAGTCCCAGTATCACAGGCCAAATACAAAACCAAGAAGTAAATATAAACCAGTACACGGATTTACGGGAAAAAGCAATTGTACTGTTTGCACAGACCATCCGAACAAATATCCATGCAACCAAAAAGAAAAGCAAGAATTGATATGCAAAAATAATTTACAACTGTACATACTTATATCTATCTGTGGAAAACCATAAAAATGGCTATTCCGTATTTTCCATTTTATCTGTCATTACAACGTAGTCTCTAGAAGAGAAGCCAAACTTAATGACGTCCGTTTCCTGAACCTCATAGTAGCGGCGCGGTTCAATCTTCTTGTTGTTGAGGAAGGTTCCATTGGCCGATTCAAGATCTATTACGTAAAGTCGAGTTTGGCCTTTGGTCTAGAAAACAAATTCGTATAAATGGTCAACTTACATAACGAAATTGCAGGACCGCGTGCTGCTTCGAAATGCTGGGATGATCCATGGGTATGTCCGCAATATTCCGATCACGTCCAATAAGGTATCCACTTTGTCGGTGAATATGAAGCACAGGAAGAGATTCATTTCCCTTGAAAGGGTACATACGCCAAAATACAGTGGGCTTTCGGGCGTCCTCGGGCTCATTGTACTTGATCAATACTCCCTTAAACAGGTTCGTATCCTCAGCAAGTTTACCTTGGGAAATATAAAAAGAAAATTCCGCGAGGATTTCAAGGAAAAAATTACTAAGGTTAACGGCTCCCAAAGAAGCTACTCATAATGAATATAAACACGGGAGGAATGACGAACAATAGATTAAACTTAGAAAAGAATTACGAATATTAAGATAAG